TTTCCCCTGATGTATCTTACAATGTTTTTGGTCAATGTCTATTTCTTTTCTTTTTTTTTTCCCCTTTGGCCATTGTTTTCCCAAATCCCCACAAGACATCTCTATGTTCTTTCAGGGAAAGCGAACATAATGTTGGTACTCTGACCTGATCATCTAGCTTCTTCAGTCTCTCTAAGTCTGTGTTGTCTAATGCCAGAAGTGGTTATTAAGTGCTTGAAATGTGGTTAGTCTGGACTGAAGAGTGTTGTAAATGCTAAATTCAAAGGCATATCCTTACAAATAATGGAACACAAAGTAACAGTTTTTTATATTGAACCGAATGTTGAAATAGATAAATAGCGAGAAGAAAATTGTTTACTGGCAAGCTACTCGTGACATATTCGATATGCCAAACACAGTAACAAGTCTCACGGTGGAGATGTTACTGGGCCCGCTCAAACAAATCGATGAACAAGGGGAGGACAGTGCTATAGTGCTACTTTTTCAATAGCAATGTGGCAGATTGAATTCAGGATCTCTCACATGTTAGGCTTGTATTTTATCACCTGAGCTATTTCCCCAGCACCTATGTAACTTTTCTAATGTAGCCACCAGAAAATTGGAAGGTATATATGTGGTTTCAGCATATTTCCCCTGGAGAGCTAAGGGGTGTCTTTATTGCTGACTCATTCCTAGTCCCTTGAGCCCACAAAGTGGCTTGTTATGCCCAGAACATTTCACATCATTTTACTTCTCTTTACTCTGTTCTTTTTCCTGAACATTGTTCCCATTATTTCTTACTAAATTAGATATGATTCCTATTTCTTCGTTTCAAGTAATATATCTCCTCTACTGTAGAAACTTTCTCCATTCCTTAGGAGAATCAAACATATCTGTCTCAGTGTATTGTATGCTTTTATATATTATCTTTATTATGGCTAATTTGCATGCTTATATTCTTTTTTAAATATAATTTGTCTCTCTAGCTACACTGTAAGTATCTGCAAAGTTCAGATGCTCTCTGATTATATAATCAGGTACTCAGCACCAGGTTGCTGCTCAATGAAAGTCTAGTGAAAAACTACCGATATGCACATATTAAACAGCTGGTTTTAACCTAGATGTTTTACAGATAGTTTCTCAAATCCTTTCAATAACACTGAAAAATAGATATAATTATCATCTTTTTTACATATGAGGATCTTGAAAAAACTCAGTTAATTATAGAGCCAGGATTCAACTAAACGGTTCCAGAGTCACATCACCCCTCTGTGACTGAATGCATGATGAAAAATAGATTAAAAGATGGAGATTTTATTTCTTTATAAAAATGTGAAAATATCTATTTCATAACATTGCTGTATCAAGTAAGATAATTGATTAAAAATGCCAGGACAGTACTTGGAAATAGTAAATTTTACTTAATATTGACTTCATTAAATTTTGAAGCTTATAACATCATGGTCCTGAAATTTTGAGGTTCAATTTAGTCTATCTAATCCTATTTGTTGCCTGTCTATATGCTTATACTCATTTTTATGTATACTCATATTCATATAGAGGTTATGAGAAACAGACCCTCTCTGGGTCTATTCACATTAACCTAGTCTCTGATGGTTAAAGAAAGTAGAGAATAAATAGGACAGGGTCTTTGATAAGGTGTATGTGTTGTGTTCATTAGTGAGAGTGGGAGCAGAATAATAACAACAGGCAATCAAATCTGGAGTCTTGTTTGTTTTTGGCCCAACCTCAGCTGTGCTCAGGGGACCAGATGAGGTACCAGGGATGGAACCCAGGTCAGCTGCACGCAAGGGAAGCACTCTACCCACTGTGCAAAGACTCTGACCCCTCAAGAGTCTTCTCTGGAGTTCTCTGGAGAGTTCTTTGGAGTTCTCAAGAGAGTTCTCTGGAGTCTTACCAGAGAACTATATTGCTTTGATGTGGGGCTGGAGCAATAGCATAGCAGGTAGGGGGTTTGCCTTGCACGAGGTCAACACAGGTTTGATTCCCAGCATCCCATTTGTTCCCCAAGCACCACCAGGAGTAATTTCTGAGTGCAAACCCAGGAGTAACCCCTGTGCATCGCTGGGTGTGACTCAAAATTTATCTATCTATCTATCTATCTATCTATCTATCTATCTATCTATGTATATATATATATATATATATGTGTGTGTGTGTGTGTGTGTGTGTGTGTGTGTGTGTGTGTGTATGGGCTGGAGCAATAGCACAGTGGTGGGGCGTTTGCCTTGAGCGCAGCCAGCCTGGTCGAGCAGGGTTCGATTCCTCTGCCCCTCTCGGAGAGCCTGGCAAGCTATTGAGATGTATTCAATATGCCAAAACACAGTAACAACAAGTCTCAAAAATGGAGACATTACTGGGCCTGCTTGAGCAAATCGATGAAATATATATATATATATATATATATATATATATATATATAAAATCTTTGGTGAGCTGCCAGAACATTCAGTCTGTAAACACTCAGAAAACTCATCTACATACTGGTTCTTACTTTCCTGGTCTATCTTACCAACTGTGACATTTTATAATCAGGACCATTTTTCTTTACTCTCTTGGGAACCTTTTTAGGGAAGGACACTGGCACTGAGGTATAAAAGTATACATCTCCAGAAAGGAGAGGTGCGTGCCAGGGGCTGGCCTCTTCCTCTGTCAAATTAGTTTATAGAGTTTTCTCAGACTGCCCTTTACCCAGTTGGGTTTTAGGGTGGTGTAAAGACAGAGAACTTGGAGCACTTGCTGATCTTTTAATATCTTTTGTGACATTTATACTAGTACTATAGAGCCTTTCCTCCAAGGGATCCAGCTATTTCATGCTAACTCCCTGGCCTCAAATTCTGCATCTCAATGGTTTTTCAGTCTTCAGAGAAGTTTCCTTGTGTCAAAGGCCTTGGTGCCATTGGGCTGTTCAGATTTCAGACTCTATATTCTTCTCGACATACTTACTAGGGCTTACTATCTTCTTGCCTGCAACATTTTCCCTCTTAAGGTTTTACCCCCTTAAATATTTAAGGGTTCCAGGGATGAATAGAATTCTAAAATAATGCCTCTACCTTATCAATAGAACAAGTGCTATAGTTGCAGGCTCCCCTCGAATATTACAAATATTGGGGTAAATTGAGCCCAAGACTTTGAAGAAATGTTTAAAGCGTGGAATGGAGACAGCCAAAATGGAGCTGCTTGAAGCAGCTGGCAAGAAGAAACCCAGGCTTCCTCTTTCATCGGGTAGTACTTAGCCAGTAGTGCTCTCTAAACTATTGCTGGGCCCAATGACACAATGCTATTTAGGACCTATGGTTCTAGGACCACCTTTCCATTATAAGTAGAAAATATTCATAGTCTCAGTCATAAGAATACTCTGAAATCTTAACAGAAGCTAAGGTACATGAGTGTATATATATTTTAAAAACTAGAATAAAACACACCCAGACTAACAAGTTTTTGATGAATAATTAAAATTTTTCTTTTATGCATTCTTTTCAATGTATGACAAAATTTCTATAATAAAGATACCTATTTTTACAAACAGAAAAAAATAGCATTATAAAAAAAGAAATTGTAATGAATAATAATTTTCTTTCCACTCTGTGTATGCTACAAGCCCAGAGTCATCATTTTCCCATTGGTGATAATAAAGTGTGATTTTGGACAGGCTAGGTAACCTCTTAAGGACTCAGGTCCCTTCCCTGTGGAATGGAGGATATTGAATGCAGTAACCCCCATTTGGTTCTGTAGTAATGCCTGAACTCTCTGATGGACCTGTCACACAGGTGACTATATTAACTGAAAATGTATCTGGCTGCTAATAATAGACATGTTGACTATAGTGACTTACATCACAAGAACTTTAACTCATAAACAGAAAGTTTAAAGGTAGATAGTCTAGGACAGGATCAACTCAATGATACATAGAAGCCAGATTCTATTTTTTTTTCCTGTGCTGTCCTCTGGAACTTTTGGCATTCATTGGAGAAATTGGTAACTCCTGGTTACTAGAGAGCTGTACTTTCACATTTTCGAGGAAAGAAGAGGCAAAGACTAGAAAGCTCAATCTTAGCTGTCAAACTGAACCAAAGGTCTGGCCTAATCTGTGGCAAAGGGAACAGAGATTAGATTTTCATTAGAAAAATTGCTGTTCATACCATACCTCTGAAAGCAAAGAATAACTGCCCACTGATTTTTGTACAAACCAGACTTAAGACAGTAGGATTCTAAAGGGGGAGAGAATTATTTTGGGGTAGAAGCAGATGTGTTTTCCAGAAGCACTTTATAAAGGTTTGTTGAGTGAATGAGGGCTGCATTGTGACATCTGAGCATCCTAAAATATGTTGCTTTCCAAGCCCCTTCCTGCATAAAATATCAAATATTTCATTTTACAAAAATTAAAATTTTTTTTTACAAATTTTTAAGTTGGTATAAGGACTTAAGTTGGTATAGGTTGGTAGTATAAGAACTCAGTTTCATTGTTGCATAGTCACAACCATAATGTTTATTTTTTTATTGTGGTAGAAAAAAACAAATTTAACATTTTTATGAGTACTAGACATTGCACCTTACTGTATCCAGTGGGTAATATAATCTTATATCTGTGCTGTTAGTAGGGCTGGAGCGATAGCACAGTGGTAGGGCGTTTGCCTTGCACTCAGCCAACATGGCCGAACTGAGTTCGATTCCTCCGCCCCTCTCGGAGAGCCCGGCAAGCTACTGAGAGTATCTCGCCCGCACGGCGTGACGTATTCGATATGCCAAACACAGTAACAACAAAGTCTCCAATGGAGACGTTACTGGGCCCGCTCGAGCAAATCGACGAATAACGGGAGGGCCTTTACCTTTACCTTTTCTATCTGTGCTGTATTCTTAGCTGAATTGTTATCACTTAAGGTCAGTGACTGTGTAAGATTTCATTGTAGTTCTCAAATTACAATTCATCATTACACATCTAAAAATGATTCAACAAGTGCTATTGAGTTGGCCTAACGTATCACTGTTTCTATTCCTAGGGGGAGCCAGGTCCTCCTGGTCCTTACGGTCCTCCAGGAACCCCTGGAATTGGACAGCAAGGTATTAAGGTAAAGATATTTGCCTCATTGGTGATTATTTAATTTATTTCATAAGGGGGGTGGGGATTGAGACTTGAACTCTGCCCAACCTTATCCTTTTCGATTCAGTCAGAATACCTGTAGAAGTTACTTATAGTGTAGATAATTGGACCAAGAAATTCTCTGGTTGGGGAAGCTACCATTGAATCATCCATGTATTTTTTAAAATAATACTTTTTTTCATTTTCAAATACTACTCTCTTGCCAATGTATGTCTAGTGCTATTTGAGTTTTTATACACTTTTAATTATTAATATAACAAGATGCTATTAGGAAATAAAACATTAAGCTGCATCAACTATCATCTTTCCCATTAATAAACATGGAGGCAGGAAACTGGAAAGACTAATAGTGAAAAAAAGAAAATGTTGACAGGTTTTAGGGAAGTAGAAATGGAAAGAAAAATGAACACCTAGCACCTGGGGGTGCTCTGCGTCATTCTATTCTATGTGATAGAATAGAAGTATTTCTTTTAATGGTTATTCCATGTCATTGGGACAATAAGTCCTTGACGCAGAACTGAAACTGAGAACAGTACAAAACAGGATACTTTGAATGTAACCAAGTGTTACCGTGGATGACATTTAGATAATGGGTATATGGAGACTCTAGGGAAGGCAGAGTTTACACTGGCAGTTAAGAGAGAAGAATTTTGAAGGTGATCTAGTGTGAAATAGAACTGAGAGAAGGGTGAAATGAAACACAGTGGACATGAAATAAAGGCTGCCGTTCCAGAATGGTGGTGAGGGGGCAGGGAAGAGCATGAGCATTGTTAGTTTGGCATCTCAGACATCAACGTGAGTCACACAGACCATCCTGCCCATTGGTAAATAGTTGTTTCTGAAAATGCCATATTTGAAAGAGAGAATGATGAACACTGGAAGGTAATTTGTTCATTAAAATTCAACCAATTCCTTTCTTCTCTAGATTTTTTAAAAAGTATTTTTGAATGAACTACCTTGGTATTTATCATTGTTGAAATATCTAGAGTATTTGTGCGATGAATATTTTTTACTTTCAAACTCAGATTTTTATTTAATTATTTTTTCCTCTAGGGGGAAAGAGGCCAGGAGGGAAGAATAGGAGCTCCAGGACCAATTGGAGTTGGTGAGCCGGGTCAGCCTGTAAGTAGCAAGAAATTTTAGGAAAAAAATACATACTTTTTAATGTTCTCGTTCTGGTTAGAATAAATGATTAAAATAAATTATCTTGTATGTTTTTAGACAAAAGAAGACAATAAATATGAAATGACAAGATTCAATTGTTGGGGCTGGAGAGGGTACAGTGGGTAGGAAGCTTGTCATGCAGACTCCTGACCCCTGATTGTTCCCTGGGTTAATCCCCATATGGTAACCCAGCCCCACCAGGAATGAATCTGAATTCAGAGATAGGAGTTAAACACTGAGCACAGTGGGGTGTGGCCCCCAAACAAAACAAACCAAAAAATGATGCAAATGTTATTTTTTATAACACTTGAAGTGAGAATTTATATGTATAGGATATCTGAGTGACTTTCTGATCAATAGACAGATTTCTAATTTTTAAAATTGAAATTAAATCTTAAGTTTTCCTAAAGATATATACTAACATACATAATATTTAAGAATATGAATTAGCTTGTCCGAGAACAAAGAATTCCATGGTGTCAAAATTTTCTAGGAGATAGGAGATCTGGATTTTGGCAAAATGTCTGTATTTGATCATTGATTTTTCAGAAACCGTGTAAAAAAATAACTGAAAATGAGTCTCTTACTCATTACCTAATTCATGGATATACTTTGAAGCTAGGATTGATGATGTTAGACAGTGAATACTTGTTTTTTGCAGTTACCACCTGATGGAGCTTTGAAGTTGACTGTTGTAGAAGAATATAAAAAAGGGTTTCTTTCAAAAGAGATCTGGAGAGGAAATGAATAAAACATGACTATTCTAGGATAAGATGCTTCTTAACTTTATTTTTTTCCTTGCTTCTCAGCTTTTTTTTAAGTGTCATTATTCTCCTAGGAAAGAATAGTAGCTGACTCACTGGAAGTACAAATAAAATGATTATGAATAGTCATTCAAATTGGTCTTCCACTTCAGTTTTGCCTTGTCTGAGTTCTCACATATAAATATTAACAGAAACTTGGCCTCCTTTCTGTGATTTATGGGTCAAATGACAATGTACTGTTTGAAGACTTGACTTAACTAATGTCTATATACACTAATTCAAATAAGAGAGCATCATATGGTGGAGTGATGCATTGGACTAATTATTCAGAAATCAGTACTCTAGTCTCACTTTGCCCTAATGAGGTAGTGTTATTAGAGATAAAGCATGGAGAAGAGATATTTCTGATTCTTTGCTGGAGAGGCAAGAAACTTAGAAAACTTAAGAACAGTGGCTAAAAAGACACAGTACAGACAGGTTACCATGTGCAGAGGGAATATTTGGGAAATTTTAATAAGAAAAAAATAACCTTTTGTTGTTTCTTGCCACATTCAGTTGTGCTCACGCTATTCCTTGCTCTCTGTTCAAGAATGATTCCTGGCTATGATTGGAGATTATATGGTGCCAAAAATCAGAACTGGGGTCAACTGCATGCAAGGCAGGCACCTTCACCTCCAAACCATCTCTTAGGAAGATAATCTTTTTACAGCTATCTGAATAAAGGAAAATAAAATATAAATTTCACTGTAAATCCATTAGAAATTTTTCAAGAACCTTAGAATTTTGAAACAAATATAAGACCTCTTCCACATGCCAGCTTTTTTTTTTTTTGGTGGTTTTTTTAAAAAAATTTTTTTAATGAATCACGATGAGATACAGTTACAGATTTATAAACTTTTGTGATAACGTTTCAGTCACACAATGATCGCGTATCCATCCCTTCACCAGTGCCCATTCTCAACCACCAATGTTCCCAGTATCTCTCTCACTGCCCCCCCCCCCCCCCCACCGCCTGTGTGGCAGGCACATTCCCTTTTACTCTCTTTCTCCTTTTGGGTGTTATGGTTCGTAATACGGGTACTAAGTGGCCATCATATTCAGTACATAGTCTACTTTCAGCACACATCTCCCATCCTTAGCAAGCCTTCTAAGCATCATTTAGTTGATGGTCCCTTCTCTATCTTAGCTACCCAGCATGTGAGGCTGCCTTCTACGCCATGGAGCGATCCTCCTGGCCCTTACCACTACTATCCTTGAGTGTTAGTCTCCCATTATGTTACTTTATATTCCATAAATGAGTGCTGTCATTCTATGTCTGTCCCTCTCTCTCTGACTCATTTCACTTAGCATGATACTCTCCATGTTGATCCACTTATATCCATATGCCAGCTTTTAACTTAATCAGCAGCTACTGTCTTACTTCTGGATCTTTGAAGAGACTGCAAGACTAATCATGGATAATACCTGACCATACATGCTAAATTTGCTCCCTCAAGATATCTGTGCTATGTGCATAGTCTCATCACTAATTCTAAAAGATAGTTTTATGAGTATTTGGCTTAGAAGCATATGACAGTTCTCCATGGCTACTTTTACCACAAGCTATATATACAGTTTATAGAGGATATTCAATTGACTATGAAAGAACAAAGTTGAGCATGTGGTGCTTGTCTAATTGGAAACAGACTCCTTTAGTATTCTCTCCATCAGTATAGAATGAAGGTATTTGTGTCCTAAGTGGATTTTCACCAAAGACCATCCTTTTTATAGAAGGTTCTAAGTAAATAAGTAGATAGGCTCACACAAATTCTTTCCCCAGACTCACTACAAACCACTCAGTTTTAATAAGTAGCTGGGATGGAGGTTATCCATGGGACTAATGTGAAACTTCAACAAAGTGGTATATTGCCACTTCTAAATGCCCATCTTGTAAAAGGTATGCAGAAGCTTGTCTTTAATTAATTAATTAATTAATTTTAAAAGACACTCTTATGCTCGCTATATTAGAACTTTTTCATAATGATGAAGGGGTGGCTGGATGTGGCTCAGAAGGAGTCCTTGCTTGCCTTGTATGTGTGAGGCCCTTGGTTTGATTCCTAGCACAACAAATACATCACATATAGTTCCCCCCCATACCATATGCTTCATCACATATGGCTTCTCAAGAGGGGTCACTCTTAAATGCAGAGCCAGAAAAATCCCATGAATACTCTGTATGTGGCCCAACCCTCCCCTACCACATTCAAAGATGAAAAATATCACAATGTAGTTTCCCATGGGCTGGAGTGATAGCACAGTGGGTAGAGTTGTTTACCTTGCACGCAGCTGACCTGGAGTCAATTCCTTTGTCCTTCTCAGAGAGCCCAGCAAGCTACTGAGAGTATCCTGCCCGCACGGCAGAGCCTGGCAAGCTCCTTGGGGCATATTCGATATGCCAAAAACAGTAACAACAAGTCTCACAATGGAGACGTTACTGGTGCCTGCTTAAGCAAATCGATGAGTACAGTGCTACAGTTTCCCATGACTGTAATGGCATGTCTGTTTATGAACAGGCAGTTCATCAAGTAAAAAATTGCTGTTACTATACTATCAAGAGACTTACTAACTGTTCTATTTGCCATCATCTTAATCTCATTTAATAGTACTTCTAAGCAAATTCTTTCAAATAAATAATGTAATGCCCCCAAACCAAACCAAATCTGAAACTCTATTTTAGTTATATATTTTGCATAACAAAAAACTAAGACTTAGATTCTTAAGATAACAGATTTTTTTCTATCTAATAAATCTGTGAGTTGCCTAGAGAGTTTCATATAAATTGAAGTTGGTTGAAAGTGACTAGAAAGACTAGAATTTTAAAAGTAGTGTCACTTACATGGCAGTCACTTTATTAGAAAAATGATCACTATCATAAGTCTAGTTAACATCTATCACCAAACAAAATGATTTTTCTGCTTTGTGATAAAAAACTTAAAAAAACTTTTAAGATTTACTCTCAGTAACTTTCATGCTAATTATCATTATCATTTAAAATCACCATACAATCTACAATCTCATTGCAGATTTAATTTGCATTTTTTTCTGATGATTAATGATGTAAGCACTTTTTTTAACACCCCTTTTGGCCAAATGTATGTCCTTGCAAAAATATCAATTCAGATCCTCTGCCAATTTTTAGCATATATTTTCCATTATTTCCTACTCTATTCACCATTTTAAACAACATTTGTTGATTCTTTAAAAGTTATCTATTCAAGTAACATTGGTCTCTAATATTATGTAGGTTTCATGTTTACATCATTATAAGGCCACATATGTATATAATACATTAAATTCACTATTAGCTGATTTACCTACCTGTCCTCCCTCTCCCTTTTGGTAGCTGATACTTTTGATTTTTGTTGAAACGTTTTGTTTATTTAGTTCTTTTGGTTTTTTTTTTTTTTTGCTTCCCTGTGTACCATACATGAGTCAACTTACACATTGTTTGTCTCTCCCTAACTTTTTTTATATTTAATTTTTTAATTGAATCACAGTGATAAACACATTTAGAAAGTTGTTCATGATTGGATTTCAGTCATATAATGTTCCAACACCTGTCCCTTCACCAGTGTACTTTTCCCATTACCAATGATCCCGATTTCTCTCCCACCCTCCAACCTCCAATACCTGCCTGCCACCATGGGAGGCACTTTGCTTCTCTCTCTCTCTCTCTCTCTCTCTCTCTCTCTCTCTCTCTCTCTCTCTCTCTCTCTCTCCCCTTTTGGACCTTATGATACTATTTGCAATACAGATAATGAAAGGCTATTGGGTATACCCCTTTACCTACTTTCAACACTCAGTTCCTGTCCAAAATGATGATTTCCAACTATAATTGTCATGCTGTTTCCTCCTCTATCCTAAGTACCTTTTGCCCCCAGACACCCCCCAACACACACACACACACAAACACACACACACACACACACACCACTCTTGTGGCAAGCTTCCAACCATAGACAGTCCTGGCTGCTGTTTACCCTTGCCTTGGATAATATATATATATATATATATATATATATATATATATATATATATCCCACAAATGAATGCAATCCCTGACCTATATTGAAGGTCAATGTTACTCAAAGTAAGTGATAACATCCCCTGGTAGAGGTGACGCTAGAATGGTCCAGGGACACTGTAATGGCATTG